TGCGCGTCACCGCAGAGGAGGGGAGTAACTAAGCAGGCCTACATTTACTCAAGTACTGCACTTAAGTACAATATTGAGATAAATATTTATATTGTATACTACGTTGTACTTCTACTGCACTACAATTCAGAGGTAGGCTACATAGTGTACTTTTATTCACTACATGTATTTAATACCTTTAGTTACAGATGTGGATGAACGATGTGAAATATAATCAAGTGTTAAATCAGACTCTAGTTCCACCTGGAGTAAATCCACAAGCTACCCTGCAGTATACAAAGTCATTCAAACTAGCTGCACCTTTACCAGCTTTGAGAACACTTTAATGATCAATCATTATAAAACATATCATATATATTATTCTGGAATGGGCCAATCTGCACAACGACTACTTTTACTGTCGGTACTTTAACTATATTTTGATGCGTATACTTTTACTTGAGGAACATTAGCAATACAGGACTTTTAGTTGTAACAGAGTATTCCTACACTCTGGTACTTTTATTTATGATCTAAGTGCAGCGAATACTGTCAGAATTAGTGTATACTTAACTATAATGCTTTGCGGATCTGGCTGCACGAGTTAATTGACAGCTGTTTCATAACCTTCAACACGAGCTACAACTGTGCGCATTCACGCATGCGCGCGTCATGGGTACGTTCCGGTTTTTATACACAAACAAATAGCACCCCTGCATATGACGCACAGCACAGACGCACTGCAGGTGCCCCCCCCCCCCCCGGGCCTCTGGAAGGTAATGTTGCGGTTAAAGTTTGCAGATGGTATGGTTCCTATTAGTGATGTAAAGGGGGTGTAATGGTACAGCCCTCAGTCTCCACCAATGGAATGATAGGCTGGGCTCAACACCCATTTTCGGGGATCTTCTATATAACCGGCGTAAATCATCCTATCGGCTTCATCCTGTTTAACAGTTATTAACCTGCGCGCTGCTGCTGATCTGCAGATACTTTTTGTAGAACATTTTTTGACGTAAGTACAAATATTACTTTTTATTTCAATGTATGGTCTTACAGTACACAGATATTCTAGGGATGGAGATGCATAAAAGTGAAATGCACGCTGTTTGAGAATGTTGATGTAATAGATGTTACAGATTGAATTTGTTTCGCACAACAATTCATTTATTAAAGACTTGAGCGATTCCTTTCAATTTGCTGTCCTTGGGCTTTATAAACAATAATTTAAAAATACTAAAATGTTGACGGTCTAGCCGCAATTTATAAAGATATTCTGCCTGAGATTTCGATCTGATAATAATCTTTGAATATGCAGGATCAGATGTGATAATTAGCACAACTTTGTTTTAATATATTTTTTTAATACAAATTCAACTTGTAATAACACTTTTGCAATTTCACATCAGCATAACCAAATAGAAATGTTTGAAGAAGCATGCATTTCCATAATAAACGTAGCATTCCCCCTCAACTTACCAACTTAAATAAAGGTACAGAAGTATTAGGAACACAATTAGCCATTAGTATTAACAGTATAATAACCTACTCATTATGCAGAGGACTACATATATATTTTTTGAATATGCTTTTTTTGGTGTTTATAAGTGATTCAACTGTGGGGAGCATGTTGAAGTTGCAGCTGTTTGAAAGGCAGCTAGTTTTGCATTTCATTTATAAACATTTATTATAATATGATCACATGCATGTTAAATGTTAATGTGTAATAGCTGACAGATACAGGAAGTGAAGGCTAAGGTACATTGTTTCCTTCTGAACTGTAGTTGAGAAGTTTAAGCACAATGTGGAACACTTAAAAGTCTAGGTACCTTTTGAGTAAACGTCCATTTTCTTCACCACCATCAGTTCCAGGATGGAGAACAAGTCTTACTTGGTTCAGATGAATGGCAAGGGAGTCCACAACAAGAGCATTGAGAATGGTAAGAGCCTGAGTGGGAACGGAGGGAATGGGAAGGACCTCCACCACGTCAGTGTGAGGGGTGCTCTGTATCACAGCAAGGCCAAGAGCCGCAGACAGAGGTGGGACGTGAGGCCCTCGGAGATGGCCAACAACACGCTGAACCCCATCAGAGCCATCGTGGACGGGATGAAGCTCACCCCCAACCCCGAGAAACCCATGATCGCACTCTCCATAGGTGAGAGGGCTTCAGCACAATTCAGATGCTGATTCAAACAATCCAGAGATGTCACTGTGTAGCTTGAAGCAATGCCAGTTTTCAATGTGTACTTAATTATATTTATCAATAAGCCAACATACAGTGAAACTCTTGTTGGGTGGATCTCATAATGTGTGACTATAATCAACTAATAATAACTACCCCCTTAGATTTCCAGTTAGTTTTTAGGAGTACCAGCTTGGTTGATTGCAAATACAGATCTCTTGTCTTTTTATCTTTTGGAGTTACATGGTTTTTTAGACATGTTTTTCCTGTCATTCCAGGACTAAGTATACTGATTTATGACATTTTTTCAATGCAATACTCTTGGGTTCTCTTGAAATTAATTGATTGCTTATTGTCACATCCGTTCCCAGGGGATCCCACTGTGTTTGGAAACCTGCCTACAGATGGGGCAGTGTTGCAGGCCATGAAAGACGCCATAGACTCCCAAAAGTACAACGGCTATGCCCCTTCTGTTGGTGAGTCAAAGTAGGAAACATCTTTGAATGCACAATGATTAGAAATGTAATTTCAGGTTGGCTGTAAAATCAGGTGAGACGTTTGGTTGTGTTACAGCTACATTAGGGTAACCCACATGTTGTCACGGTATGACTTGTGTTGTGAAATTAGGTAACCAGAAATGGCCTGATGTAAATATCAGGAGTGGTGAGGACCCACTGAATCTCTGTTTGCAGTACATTATTTGCTCTGTCCACCTGCAGGTTATCTGAAGAGCCGACAGGCGGTGGCCAACTTCTACAGCTGCCCCGAGGCTCCGCTGGAGGCCGAGGTGCTTATTCAATCAGATTCAATCATAAATAGACCTGTAGTCCGTCAACAAGAGTGCATGTCTTGGAATCTACAAGTCAGTGGTGGAAATAGTATTCAGAATCTGTACTAAAGTAAAAAACACTAATACCACAACACTACATTTCAAGTAAAAGTTCTGCGTGGAGAATGGTACTTAAGTAAAAGTATTTGAGTATGAATAGGACCATGTAATTAAAGTATTAGAATTCAAAGTTTAAAAAAAACTAGAAACTAGTATTTAAATATTTTAAAATATAAAAAACCTAAGGCAGCAAATCTTCACATTTAAGAAGCTGGAACTGTTAAATATTTTTGAACAAAAATGTTTTAAATTCCTATGAATTTCCTGTTAACCCACTCATGGTTTTAGTTAATCAAATATAATGGTAGATGGTTTAATCTACCAAATAATCATATTTTAAAAGTTATTCCTGAGTATTTTGTGTCAAATCTGTAAAGAAAATGTAGTGGAGTGAAAAGTACAAAATTGGCTTCCAAAATGTAGTTGAGTAAAAATATAAAGCAGCATACAATGAAAACACTTAGGTAAAGTACAATTAGGTCAAATGCGTACTTAAGTACAGTACTTAGTGGAATGTAGTTACTTTACACCACTGCTACTAGTAACTGTGACTCCATCATGGTCAAAGAATAGAAACTGTAGTGTTGTTAAGCATTTATCTTTGATTTTGAAAGTAACCCCCCCCCCCCCTCTCCTCCAGGATGTGATTCTGACCAGTGGCTGCAGTCAGGCCATCGACCTGGCTATCAGTGTCCTGTGTAACCCGGGGGAAAACATCCTGGTCCCATGCCCGGGCTTCTCCTTATATAAGACTCTGGCTGTCTCCATGGGCATAGATGTCAAACTCTACAATCTGCTGGTGAGTATAGGAGGTTAAATAAACACCAATATTTATTTGATCAATTCATCAATCATTACAAGTTTTCAAACATCAAAAATAAGACATTTGTCTCAGGGGACTTCACGGTGTCAACAGCATTCAACACCCTTTTTCCTTAGACCCACAACGTACAATAAAGTAGTCCCCCACTGAAACCCCACAGTGAACAGCAGAAATGGAAGGAGCCAACAGAGGACGATCCGTCTGTAAGGACAGACAGACGTGTGTGCAGATATGTGTCGTGTGTATGGATTAAAACAAATAGTACAATTACAGAAAAGACAATCCATATGAAAAAAATGATAATGTGAACATATATAAAAAGGTCCAGGAGGATTTCAAAAGGCTTCCAGGTGCTACCAACAAGTAGGTGAAAGACAAAAACACAGGACATAACTTCATACAAATAGAGAGAGAGAGAAATAGGAGAGGAAGGGTTAGAATAGAAAGGTACAAAGTGAAAGTCTTTGGCAGCTGAACAAGGGTCTGGTTCAATGCTAGCCTGAACCAGCCCTAACTATAAGATCTATCTTCTTTAACACAGACACTTCTTGTTACAAAATAGGAGTATTCATGTCTGATATCGTCATAGTCACATGTCTTACAGTGCTTTTGATGAAGAATAAAGACTCAGTCTATAGGTATTTATCCACCTGGTGTACTTATACATCACTAGCATTACATCAGATCAAATGTTCTCTTAGTAATCGTCACGCCATGCCATTTTTTATAAAATGATTGTAAACCATTCATAGCAGCTGTTTTGAGAAGTTCATCTATCAATAATAAGACACACAGTGTGGTAAGGCCACTGATGGGAGGAGGATGTGAGCGTCCTACTGTTATATAAAGACATGGAGGGAAACCGTTTTGGACATTTCGTAAAGAAATAAGAAAATTGTGGAATGGGAACTGTAAATGTTTTATGTTGGTGCACATCACACATGAATCATTTTGGTCAAACGTTGGTTACAGTGAATGAGCACCCAAAGGTTCAAGGACCTGAAGGTGTTATTTTCATGAAGAATAACGTTTCTTTGCCCATGACAACACACATGTTTGATTGACAGCCGGAGAAGTCATGGGAGGTGGACCTTCTACAGATGGAGAGCCTGATCGACGAGAGGACTTCCTGTATGATCGTCACCAATCCATCCAACCCGTGTGGCTCTGTCTTCAGCAAGGAACACCTCCAGAAAATCATCAAAGGTACGTGCCTGTCCACTCTGCTTCATTATTCAAATAATGAAGAGCCCTTTAAAAACTTTGAATAAGCATCCGAGGAGTTGAACATGTACTATCATATACATACAGCATTTGCCTCGTCTTACAGAAACAATGAAAGCATAGGCGTCATTTGTACTGAGGACACTGTGTCATGTCCCCGCCACTTATGGACTTGGCCAATTTTGTCCCTAACCACTTTGCATTAGGATCATTTGTGAAACATATTCTGAAAATAGCATGCACAAAGAATTGTACATAAGAGTGTACATGTACAATCTGGACGACGTGAAGCCCATGAATGAAATGCTTCTTGTTTTCACAGTGGCCTCCAGACACTGCCTCCCCATCCTGGCTGATGAAATCTACAGTGATATGGTGAGTGTCAGGGTTTGGCCCTCTGGAACACCAGCGAGGCACATTTTTCAGCACTGTGACAGCAGAGGTTGTGCTGCATTTGGTGGTATTTGCCCTGGCTCTGGGGGGTGGGTGGATCAGCACTTGGGGGATTAGGGGCCATGTGCTGTGAATCAGCAACCAGTAAGGGATGGGCGGGGGGCGTGGGGGTCAGAGCATTTTACACTCAGGCTTTAAAGTGCTATATATCTCTCCTACACAGAGATATAAAGTGGAGTTTATTTTAAAATGACAATGAAAACTGAACCCTGAATACCAATAAAATGGAAACTCAATGGAATAAGATGAATTTGAATTTAGTTAGTTTACCCTTCTGCCATGTCTATTCTTGTCATGCTAAGAAACATTTAAGTTGGACTTGCTGTAGGCTATTTTTGAATATGACAGAAGATGTAAAAAAAACCGA